TTGCGATCGAAGCCATAACTCTAAATTTTAACATTCAAACTCAACGAACAGAGAGCGGAAAAAAAAATTGAAGCCACACGAAAATATGTCCGTGGTAAGCGCTTAGGCATTGGCTTGGTCTCGCTCTCAACATGATTTCAATAAATCGATTGAAATGTTTTAGCACAACGACGTAAATACACATTTTATCGGTTGTTTGGTGCAACAATTCACATCGACACATGTGTACAGCATCGTTTCGCATTCAGAGTGTACTCTCGGCCGCGCTCACTCACACAGCCGACGAAAAAGCCCAAACAAACAAGCAAATGATTGTTATTAATAGTATTTAATGTGAAAAGACAATCTCTGCTCAATTCGCATTTTAAAACGTCTATTTTAGCATTTCGTTTCGGGGTAATCCAATTCGCTAAGCCAAAAAGTGCGATGCTGTCGAAGATCTTTCCTTTTTTTTCGGTGCGCTGAAATCCGAGAAAACTTACATTCAAACACACACTTCATCGTTTTGCACACCAATCGCAACGAAGCAACGAGCACATTTCGTGCGAGCATCATCATCGCACGGCTTCGTCTTAATTTCACATTATTTTCACTGGACGGGCTCTCTCTCGCGCGCACGCGTAAAAAATGGAATTTCATTGCAAAAACATTTATATCATACAAATGCGATGTTTTTATTATTAATGTTCGCTTAGTATTTGCAACAATATTGATTCAGTCGCGCGCACAACGGCGGCGACGCGAGACTTTTCTTCGGGTGGACCCGGTGTGTGTTCGAGTTTCGCATGCAAATTGTGCATATTAAATCGCTCTTACTGCACTTAAATGATAATAATGTGTACAATAATAACAATAATATTCGAACACACATTATCTTATAATCTGTGCGGTGGATATCCTGCTGTGTTCGACAACAATAACTGTCGACACACAGGTTCTCTCGTTCTACCTCTCCCGCTCTCGCTCTCTGTCTCTGTCTCTGCTCACTCCGTTTGCTCATATATAAAAATGTATGTACGTTCCGTGCGAGAGCGAACACGAAATGCACAACACACAAGATAAATAGCAAAACAATACTGAATCTGCGTGCATTTAGCGCAACTTCATCGATGAAGCACATTCCGTTCAATGCAATTCTTTGTTCGAACAGCGAACTTTTTCTTCTTGTTCGTTATTTCTTTCATTTTTTCTGTTGTTGATTCGATCGAAAAGCGAACATTGGCGCTCGCAATACTGACATAATTGATTTGTCGATGGCGCATACAGTATACGATATTTGTTTTTCCAACACAAAATCATTATTTGTGTGAAATTCCAAGTTATCGACACTTATCGAATGCATTATCAGCTGAACATTTTTTTTTGTACAACAAGCTTAGGTAAATTTCAACCGAAAATTCCCGTTTTCTACATAAACTTAAGAAATTATTTAAAATCAAAATACAATCATTTGACCAGATGTCGACACAGATTTTTTTTTTCATCCTGTGGATTTCGTGTTAGAATTTTGCATGTGGATTTCAAGTCAAGCTAGCGTTAAAAATCAAGTTCGTTGAAATGTGTGTATTTTCTGCATTGCATCGCTTCGAATGCGTTCACGCTCAGTCAACGAAGAAGAAAAGCCTAGAAAATAGCATAAAACAAAAGCCAAAGAGCTCACAAAGAGCACAAACGACAAATGAAGTGAAACGAGATGAACCAAAGAGGAATAGAAGTCTTCACTCGGCTTGAAACCGGTCGCAAACACAACGAAAATGTCCGAAAATTTATAACTTTATTATGATCAATTTGGGAATGGTGTTGATTTTTCTTCGACAAGCGTTTTACGGTTGGTTAGTGTTTGCAGTGCGTTTGTTCCGTGCAAAATCCATCGTAGCCATACTGGGTTCCGGCAAGAGCCTGAGTATGTAAAATGTGTGTCAAAAAGACAAAATCGAATTGGTTAATTTATGAATTTATTGCCGTTGAGCCATAAAATGCTCTTTGAGACACAACACACAATTGTGAAATTAAGTGAAAAAGGGAAGTGCAAAAAAGGATGCTGACAATTCTTGGTGTCGTTGCATTGTTTAATGGATAGTGGGCTGGTTTGTGCCTGTCGCAACGCAACGCAAAACAAAATGTCTCTGTGGCGTTTTTGTTTCTCGTTTTTTCCCTTTCTCTTTACATAATATGTGTAACATGATTTATTGTAGCTGAGGGTTTTGTTTCATTCACTTTTGTCAAACGTAGAGCATTGTCTACGGTATCATGTGCGTATTGTTCAAATGATCAGCAGTAAGAGTTTGCTGAACCGAGCACGGTAGTCATGTGGTCATCATTATCTTTCGTTTAGGCAAAAGCAAATATTTCGATCGCTTTGAAATGTTTCGAATGATTTCACATAATTTTTTTTCGTTCCGTTTCAAGAGAAATTGTCTCTAGTTGATTGTACGTTCAAAAGAGTGCTCATTGTTGTGATGACTGAAGCAAAAAAAAGAGAAAAAAAAAACGGATTTATCAAGAACTTGGAGAAATTCCAATGATCACCGTTGTTGCTGGTGTGTGTGTGTGTGTGTGTCACAAGTGATTTTCTCATTGAACGAGAGACAAAGTGAGTTGAGCTATCGAAAAAAATGCGTTAAGATATTGTAATCTCTGTGCTACTACGATTTATTGAGAAAAATGCCACCAAAGTTGGTTCTCTTCCCATCACGTGAAAGAAATGCACGCAAGACCATGGATCAAGACTCAAGCCTTTAAGTATGCACTATGGCCACACAGCTGTGTCTCTACTTTCCCATTTGCACAATGAAACGCATTCATTTTTCATTGTGGCCTTCGATGACAAGGCGCACACAAATCGAAGTAATAGAAACCACAACAACGAAACTCAATTTGTAAACGAGAGAGATTCAATTCAATTAGCACATTTTCGAGACACAAAATGCTCAATGATTGTGCACTTTCTGAGCCAACCTGTGCATTCGTCAATGTGTTAGTGCATTTAATTAGTTGCAGTTATCGCTTTGTACTCACAACGTTTTAAAGAAGGAATGAAAAAAAACACGCCGGAGTAGAAGAACGGAATGCTCAACCCATTTGATTTGCTCCAATGCATCCGTTCGACTCTGTGTCGATCTCTTGTAAAATGAATGCCTGTCGATTGTGTTCTCTTCTGTAAAAGTTTTTTTTTTTCATCGTCGTCGTCGTCGTTGTTGTTGTTGTTCATATCATGATAGATCAGCTCGGCTGAGCTGTTGTCTAACTGAATTGTATTTTGTGAACGATGAAAATAATTTGAATAGTTGAAAAATGGATAAAAATGACTTTAGTACATTCAATGTGAAGCAAAGCGTATTTAGTGGTTTCTGATGCTCGTTTAATAATGACGATGGTCATGTCATCGACGATGACTCGTCACATTATTATGTGGCTAGCACATCAATTTATTACCGAGAATCAGGCATCCTAGTTCACATACGGTCATGTGATGATTTGTTGTTATCTTATTTCTTCTCTGCCTGTGCGCGCGCGCACACACACCGGCAACTGACAAAGATGACGACAAATCACAGCGACCTCAGTGAAAAATGAGTTCACTTCACATATTTTTTTGTATCTCAAGCTCAGAGTCTATTCAATCAAATCACAATAAAATAAAAATTACTTAAAGAACTCAGAGAAAAAAAGCGAAGGAATTCTGTAATTATCGCGTTCAAGGTCCTTTTGCTTGAATCACCGATTCACACGCAAACTCATAATTTCGATGTCCGAAACCCCGTTCCGAAAGAGCAGAAAAAAAAGAAGCAACTCGCCGTCGTTTGTCTTTGAAAATATTTGCAATCAAAACAAATTCCGAATAATTTAATTCCGTGAGCGAGAACGTGTTTGAACTTCAAAAATTTCGCAGTTAACGCCGACAGTTCGGCAGCCAAAACATTTCAACAACAACAGCAACAGCCACAGCAGCAGAGAAAAAAATGAAACAAATATTTATACTTTGACATTATACACACATTTTTCCACCGCGATGCTTGTATTTTTTTTCACGCGCTCATTAATAAATTCGTCATTGCAGCGGCGGAATGATTGTTGTTTTCGAGTTACGAAAATATGTTTGATTGTTTTTAAAATGTAACATCTTATGAACCCTCCTTTTTTCACCGCTTCCTCCGATGAATGAATTCAGATGCTGATTTATTGATTGTGATCGCATCACTTCAACAGCACAGCACATTTTTGCACATATCAAGTCGTTAATTTGTTCTCGTTAAATTCGAGAGATGCTCAGACGCTCCATTGTATTTAAATTGTGTTCATTGTCGAAAGAAAGAGAAAGAAATGCACGGGGCACGTTAGAAACTGAATGCACACGTACGTGCACATTTTGCAATCTTTTTCATTAACATTCTCTTAACTACTGACTCTCTGAGTACTATGTTATTGTCCTGGTCGCAGAGTTCTCAGGTTCAAGCCAGCACTCAACATCTGATATGATTGCGTACGTTCAATTATGCGGAAATTGCTTGAAATCGCCAACTCAACACTCACTCAACCGACTCCTCCATTCATGCTCGGCTAGAAAGTGACCATTTTTGATGAAACTCAAATTGAGTTGGTGGAATAGTGATTTCGTCATGAGTACACTCATAACTTCACAACCTTATGCTTCGTGACTTCGGTTCCGTTTCGAAATTCGACGAAATTCATTCAGAGTTATAAAAAGGTTATTCATGACAAAGATGACGAGTAAGCCCACTGAAATTCATTCATTTTGTATCAAAACAACTGAAATTCAACGAAATCATTCATTTTGAAGTGAATTTCATTCATTTGACCAGAGATGCTAAGTGTAATTTAATTGAATTTAAAAGAAAACCACAAATTTGAGCTAAAATAGAAAGAATCCTAAGAAAAATGAGTTAATTTTCAGTTCGCAAAAATCCAAATTTCAATCAAATTCACAACTATAACAGATGAATCATACTAATCGGTTTGTTGTTGAATATTTTTTCCAGGTTGTCGTGAAACGGCGTTCATTTATGCAATAACAAGTGCGGCTGTTACGCATTCGATTGCCCGTGCTTGCAGCGAAGGTTCAATTGAATCGTGTACATGTGACTACAGCCATCAATCGCGTTCGCCACAAATGAATAACATGGGCACACCGACGGTTGGTGTTCGTGACTGGGAATGGGGTGGTTGTTCCGATAACATTGGATTTGGATTTAAATTCTCGCGCGAATTTGTCGACACCGGTGAACGTGGTCGCACTCTTCGCGAGAAAATGAATTTGCACAACAATGAAGCCGGCCGAATTGTAAGTATTCAAGCCCTTTTATTTTATACGACAAAAAAAATGAGAGGAAGAGAGAGAGAAAAAAATCAGCTGATTTAAGAGATAAACGATTGTTCAATTTGCGCAACAAAATGCTCTGCTCCGTGGCTAATTTGTTCGCGTAGTGTCTGTTCACATTTTCACTAAAAATTAATTACATTCATTCATGTTCATAACAAGCGTGTACAAACGAGTATGTCGTTGTTGTTGTTGGTTATTGTTGTTGTTTTTTTCGCTCTGCATCGCATTCGTACATGCATTTGCTGGTAATTAAAGTAAAGTCGAACGATTTACAACAAAACGCCTCAATCTAAAATCGTGTTCTGCACTCATCGTTCATACCATGGACAGGGGGAAAAATTATCGATTTCGCTATACTATGATTATTCATTTTGCGATCTGCTCTTTCTCTCGACGGGGATAAGAGGCCGAGCTGAGAGAAAGATGAAGCATGAGAGAGAGAGAAGAACGAAGAAAAAAAAATTATGTCGTAAAAATGGCTAACAACAAAATCAGAATAATTAATGTGACTAGGTTTTTAATGCAATTCGCGATTAATTCACGATTATGTTTTATCGATATTCCTTAATTGACTTTATGGACTGTTGTTGGTCAGTTGTTATGCATTTTTTTATGATTTGATAATAACATTCTGCTTAGGTTTTTTTCTCTTCTCTTCTCTGCGGTGCTCTCATGCAAACGCACACTCTTACTCACTCACAGACAAGTGTGTAAGTGTTTTGAATTTGTAACTATTTTCAGAGTCTATGTCGACTGTTTTTTTTTTCGTTCGTTCGCTCGCTCGCTTATCTATTTAGCTGGAGGTGGAATTGGTTTTGAGTAGTTGAGAGTTTGCGGTTGCCGTGTGTGTTAAACCACCCAAGTCGTTTAGATCAGCACATTTATTCATTTAATTTGCGCGTGGTGATTCGCAATGTGGTTTTATTCTCTTTTTTTCGTGTTCGTCATTCGCCTGTTTTTTTCATTCTTGTCACGGAATTTTATGTTCATTTTAAATTTTACTTAAGCTGTACACACATAAGATTAAATCGTTGCGATGACAGCTGCTAAAATTATCCCGTGAAAATGACAATTTTATGAAAAAAAGCCTGTCGATGATTGAAAATTTGAGAGATGCTCCATTGTATTGACACAAGAAATAAGGTTTCCAATCATCTGAATACGCAAACGACTTTGATGACTTTGTTGAAATTTTTTTGCTATAAAATTTCTCTCCGCCGAAGAATCACTTTTTCTGCAAGACATTTTTGTTGAAGATTTTATTTAAGATTATTTTTTTGCTAAAAAATAATTATGTCTTCCGAAAAATTCAATTTTGCCTCTTTTTTTTGAAAAAAAAAACTTTTTTCCATCTTAAACCTCCTAAGTCAAAGCTTATCACCGAAAAATTGACATATCATATTTGAAAATTCAATTATGGTGTGCATCAATTGGATTAGTGTGTGTGTATGAGTGTGTGACAGATTTGGTTCTTTAGTCTCTTTTCCGTCACACCAAGATAATTCGATTGAGTTTCGGCTCAGAAACTACTTAATTTTTATGGTTGCTTTCTTTTTCATCTCCTTACCCCGTCTCTGTCTCCGATAGAGAGTCGAGAGAAGAGTAAAAACAAAGCAAAGAGCCCAAAAGCGTTTCTAAATTATGTTGTCTCTCGATGTGCATGGGGCTTCGATATATATTGAAGAAGAAAAGAACGGTATGTGCAGATGAAGTAGCTGAAACAGCATTAAATACCTATAAAGATACGAAATATTGATTACGAATCCAGTTTTCTTCGGTTCATTCTCTTTTCATTGTCGACTGGAGAGTTACTAAAACGCCGTGTCCATGTATAATGAATGGTGCGACAGAACATCACCATACTGAGCAAGTATTGAGAGTCACACGCACCCAGTCGCACACACACCGCCACGAAGTGATGATGATTTTCTCTACACTCCATATCTAGAGAGAGAGACGGAATGAATTAGAGTAAGGAAATGTGTATGCGAGTATTAATGCGTGATAATAATTTAATTTAATTTTAATGGAATGATCAGTGAGGCAACTTTCTTTCATGCGACGACGTGTGCGCTAGTTTGGAATGCACATCCGTGGCTATTAGTTAATCTCTCATCCTGTCTCTGGATGAAACATACAAACACACACAAAAAGAAAGAAATATTTATATGATATCATTTATTGCCGCAGCTGGATCGAGAGAGAGAGAGAGAGTCGCACGATGAAGACGCTCCTCAGAATGGAACCAAGATCAATGATCCGAATTTCATCGTATGCTTTGATTCTAATTCGAATTATTTACGATAAATTTATGATTACATTTTGGCGTATGTGCAAACAGACACTCATTCACTCGCGCTCGCACATTCACACAAATGCACTCGCTGTCAAATGACAGCTCAGCACAACATTCGATTGGCACGATAAACAAAAACATATGATTGCGCGCGTTTACAACATTCATTTACATATTGCATAAATTATTGTCTTAAAAACCCCCTGCTGTTGTATTTGTGGTCGCGCGCGCGCTTGCTCACTGCACTCACTACCACTTCCTTTTGTGGATCCATGCTTTGCTTCGCTTCTTTTGCATCAAAATTCCCCTCTCCTCCCTGGGTGGAGGACTGGATCATGGAGCAAATGCAAACATTAAGTATTTGTAAATTGTAACGTTATTGCGATTGAGATGAGAGTGTGGCGCGCATTTGGCTCAGGATGTTGCTGAAAGGCGATTGTGTACCAGATTGCCCTCTCTCTTGCACTGGACGCTGTTTTTTTCAGCACATCACAGCTCTGCGAATTCCAGTGTTGAGGTGGTACGCGTAAGGCAAAGCACAGCGCACTCTCACACACTAACCGTGATGCAAAGACACGAAATCAAAACGATCATCATGGATTGAGAATGAAAAAAGACACATCTACACACAGCTTCGTTCTATACGATACGATACACATATATGATGCAATGAAAGCCAAGATGAATGGTTTAAATGATAATGAATTATAGCTTAATAAACTCACATTATGCGCTTGATCAATTTATATTTCGACTCGAAAAGGATCACATTGAATGCGCTCGCGCGCACATACGAGTAAACCGTGTACACGGGATAAAACCGCAAATCATCTAAATAATATCGAATGGGTACACCATTTGTACGATGTGAGAGAGAGAGAGAGTCTATGTGCGGCGCTGTGCGGCCTGACTACATCATGAACCTAGAATGCAACAAAACCTTCTTTTCTCTCTGTCTATACGTAATGAACTCATCATCTTTCCGTTTGTTTGTGCATGGTATTTTCTTCTGTACCATTTGTTGTGAACATGAAAATAATGTAATTCCAACGAAATGAAGACATTTTGTGCTGTTGGAAACTATATATGTATTGATTTTATGGACACGACACGAATAAAACATACATACAAAGTCAATTCCATGCCAATTCTTTGGTTAGTGCCTTTTTTTTCTCTCTGTCTTTCGTTGGTTTGATACATGAATAGTGTCAATTTTTAGCAGTTTCATTTTGTAATAAAATCTCTTTGAATGTGATTTATTAAATCGTTTTCTTTCTTCCATTCGCAGCATGTTCAAAGTGAGATGCGTCAGGAATGTAAATGCCATGGTATGTCAGGATCATGTACAGTGAAGACATGCTGGATGCGTTTGCCAAATTTCCGATTGGTTGGTGACAATCTGAAAGATCGATTCGATGGTGCATCACGTGTTATGATCAGTAACGGTGCGAATGGTGTCAGTGAAAATGCCATCCAACACATCAACAGTAACAGTCTTCAGTCAAACAATATTGCATCCAGCCCAAACAGTATTTCATCCAATTCAATTCGCCGTGATCATCATAAACGGAAAAATAATAGGTAAATTTCAAATTCTTCCTTTTTATTCCTTTTTATTTTAAATTCCATTGAATGAAGAAAAAAAAAACGAAAAAAAAAACAAAACAAAACCGACCCATTTCCATTCATCAACAAAACTAATCCGTTGTCTTTATTCTCTTTTATTGTTGTTTTCAGTAGATATCATTTCCAATTGAAACCATACAATCCGGATCACAAAGCACCTGGTACCAAGGACCTGGTATACTTAGAGCCATCGCCTGGATTTTGTACGAAAAATGCACGATTGGGCATACAAGGAACCAGCGGTCGCCAGTGTAACGACACATCAATCGGTGTGGATGGTTGTGATCTAATGTGTTGCGGCCGTGGCTATCGAACGCAAGAGGTGATTGTCGTCGAACGTTGCTCGTGCACATTTCACTGGTGCTGCGAAGTCAAATGTAAACTATGCCGAACGAAAAAAACCATTCATACGTGCCTCTAAAACAAAAACAATATTGCTCGTAGGTGGAATCAAATTGCATTATTAGCATCTAGTTAGTGTAGTTTTTGTCGTGTGTAAGCTATAACATAGGGTTTTTTTTTAGCAGCGACACGTGCATTTTGCAATGCCTCACTTGAAATCAGTCTGAATAGAGAAACATTTAAGTTTTGCGAACGAAAAAATTTTTAGTAAAACTTGCTTTTGTATAGAAAACAAAATTATTCGAAGTGACAGTATTAAACACCCAGTGCTTATTTTTTTATTTCTTGTGCGTTGAGCAAAAGGAGTAAAGTGAATCGATCGAACACACATACACATTCATTCATCTAGTTTAGAATTGGGAACACGAATAGCGGAAATGACGAAGACTGATTTTTGTACATAGTTTTTATTCCTCTTTTTTTCTTGTGCGTGTGGATGTTTTTTGTAAATTTTTTTACTACTCCAGTCCAAAAGTCATGTGCGATGTGCGAACATCGTTGGCTTTTTTGTGGCGCATATGTGCCACTACTTAAATTAGACATACCCTTCTTGATTCCGAAGAGAGAGAGACACACTCTCTTCTTTATTTAAAGAGGAACAAACTCTTCTTGCCGTAGAGAAAGAGCCAACACATTCATTTTATCAATTGCAACACAATCAGCTTATCCATTAAATAAAAAAAATAATTAAATTATGTGTGTATATATTATATGCTTGGATTGTTCTAACTAATACGATAAGAGTAAGAAACACAAAAACTATACGTAATATTTAATTTATATGGAATTTGTAGCGTTAGACTGGCTCTGAATTCAGAGCAAATGGCGACAAGCACGGAAATCCAAGTGAATCTTCGAATAAAAAAATGTCCAACTGCTTCAGATAGAAACTGGATGTTTTAGACACGCACGCTCATCACAACACATTCATATAGATCATAAGTGAATCAAAACAAAAGCAAGAAGAATTCAAAACGAAAGCAAGACGAAAAAATTGTTCATGAAAAAAAACGAAAACAAAAATTGTTGATATTTGTACATAAAACGATGTTTAAGCTAATTAAGATTTAAGCCTAAGTAAAGTAAAAGAAAGAAGAAACAAAATGTCTACTTCAGATTCTTTTGAAGGTTCTCATGTCAGCGCTTTTTCTGATTTAAACTAAGCATAAACATAATAAATTGTATTTATCACTAAACCTTAAGATGAACACAAAGTCTTAATTTTGGATGTGAACACGTGCATTCAAACCTGTGTGACCTAATGAAACTAATGTAAAAAAAACGAATCTAATAATCAAAAATCGCATAGTCTCTATCTAAAACACAAAAAATGTAACTTGGTATAATTTGTATTGCTAGATACCCATCCCGAATAAGTGTTTAATTTAAAATGCCTAATTTATGTCTAACGGAATTCACAAACAAACAAAAAAACATATTTTCTTTTCATACACAATTCGAATAATATTTTATATATATACGAAATACAAAAGATACAAAGTAATTTTTTTTGCAGAGCATTTATGATGATGAAAAGAGAAGCATGGAGAGAATGATAAAAGAAAAAAGTTTGTAAAAATAAAAATTCTGTTTTATCGAAGAATGATCGTTTTTTTTTTATTATTTCGGATAAGAGAAAAACTCTCGTTTCTTTTGGATTGTAGATGGGAGAGAATGAAAAACACACACACACACACTCTGCATAAAGATTTATATATTGTGGCCCGTTGGTGACATTTATCAATGTGACGATCAAAGGTAAAGTTAACAGGATTATTCATTTTGAGTTGTAATCGATCGAACAAAAGGAAACTTCCCAATGATTCATCGATCGTATGGGACTGTGGCTATGTGTCGCGTATTAAGTTTCGCATTTGTTTGTGCTGCTGCTGCTGCTGCTGCTTCGCTTTTGTTCATGTGTTCGACTTTAATTGATCTCATTCCATCTCTTTTGCTCGTCGCTGTTTCTTTTATCAACCAAGAATGCTACGCGAACTCTTGGCTTTAATGAGGATTTTAAAAATGGCAACAACAACAAAAGCAGCAGCAGCAATCGTCCGCGAACCCAGCAAAAGCAATTTGCAAATATGCTCACAGCGCACATACACACACACACACATAAACCATGGACGAACGAATGAACGAAAAAAATCGCAAAATACCTGAAATAAATTCCAAACAAGAATTTTACCTTTATATCAATTAGCGATTCACTAATTGAATCACTATAGAGAATTTATTCACTCTTTTTTCGGTTTAATGTGTGCGCCTTCTGTACAAATGGATTTCTCTCTCGGTTTTTCTCTCTCTCGATCATATCGTGTGCCCCTTTTTGCACATGCTGCTTTTTTTCCAGGCCGTTCAATTCGGATTGATAAATATTTTCCCATTCATGTTATTGCAATTTATATTTAAAAAAGAATCAATATTCGCCTTACACTCTATTTGAAGCCTTTTTGATCTTTTCGCTTGGTGTGTGTGTGTGTTGAAATTTGAAAGGTTATTTCATTGTGAGTCGTTTCGTTTTCTTTTTTGCATATCTGAATGCTGCTTTTATTGATCGAAATTTTTCGTTTTTGTCGGACGTAATTCCACTCATCGATACACAACGAATTTATTCCGCTCGAATCACTTGTCTCTCCTCGCTCCGGCCGAGGTGACCTGCACCGATACAGATTTAGATTAATTTGGATCAATTTTTTTCTGGTTTGGTGCTTGGCTCTTCCCGAATCCATGGCTCTTGAAATCCATGGGAATAATACGATCGATCGATCGGCGGTGTGCACATTGTAAAATGGTAATTTCTTTACATCATTTCACATTAAACTGTAATCGTTTAATTTGTAATCGGTTTCGACACATAACAACATGACTCTTGTCCTTTTCCATTAATTTATGCAGTGTGTGCTGTGCTGGGTGCATTTCGGAGGAGCTCGCTCGTTTGGCATCACATTGCTAATACCTTTCGATATCATCGATACATCAAGCCACAAGTGAATGGGTATGGTGATCGACTAAAATATAAAAAAGGATCGCTGAAAACGTTGTTTTTTACGCCGATCAAAATCAACGAACGAAGCAGCAACAACAAAGATGCATGTTGTTGGTTGTTGTTGGTTTTCTGCTTTGGATACGTCAGACCATTTGTGTCTGGCTGGGCCAGATTTCGGACGAAGATTGCTCTGCACACATCGTGTAATATAATACGATCGTTTTATTTGGGCGATTTGAAGTAAAGCCCATGGAATTTGTGTCGCTGTTCACATAATAAAACATAAACATTCCATTAATGAAGTTAATCGCGCTCTGCGCTCAAACCAACATTCGCGCAACTACCTTTTGCTGCTGCTGCTGCTGCTGCTGCAGCCGATTATTATTTTATTATACATCAAACATTTGCTGTTGTGCTGCTGCTTTATCAGCCCAAAACCGAATTGGGTAAGTTAATCTCGTTCGATTCGGTTGACATAATTGTTAAATTGAAAGAAAATCATAATTAATTAGGATTTAATCAATCCAAAATACGTGCACTGAATCAGAAAGAAATTTGCGGAAAACGAGACAAGCCACCCGATTTATATTGATGATTAAGCCCGCGTTGACATCCATACCAGAATAATATTGCAATCTATAGCAGAAAAAAAGTAGCGATGAAGAAGGGAATAAAGCGTTCGCATCGCCTAAAATCGTTTCAATGTTTTACCGTTCATTTCAATAGAGGATTTATCGCCGCGAATTTGGTAAATTGAAACTGTCGTCGTATCCATAATGAGCATTGATGCCCATGTATGGTTTTTGGTTTTGAAGGCTTTAGCATTTTTAGTTTTTCTTCTTCTTTGCCTCGGTGTTTGACTGGCACGACTCTCCTGTTTGAGATTCGTTTTTTTCCACTGTGTGCGCCTCTCGCACAAATGCATTCGATACCACTAGGTGCAGCGATAAGAAGGAAGAAATCAACAAATCCGATATGCGGTAGACAAAAACAACGAAATGCGATATCATTTTTTTCCATTAAGTTTTTCTTTTCCTTCTTGATGATACATATGGAAATCAGAACGCATTCTATTCACGATCACTCTAAAATGTTTACTCACAAGAAATAATTTCGCATCAATAATTTAAGAGGAGGATGATGCACCGTACAAGTCTTTTTCGCAGTTCCTCTGCAAGATTATAACTATACGATGATCAAAGCCCCTTGAAACATGCGACTTATGTGACAATTTTCCTTATATTTTGTATGAGAAATCAGCATCGGCTGAAGAGGTTAAAATTGGTCAATGAGGAAATCGTATCTTCCTATTTTTCGATAATCTATCGACATACTTGATCTAGAGCTATTGATATGACTTGATGTAGAGTTTCAGATTCACTTGTGCGTTCTAAACGTTGATCGCGATGATTTTGTCACAAAATTTGCAACAGAGGAATCAAGATATTTGAAGTCATTTCAAAATATTTGATGAATATTCAAAGATTTACCTTCATTTATAGAATTGTACTATGAGAAAAGAACCAAAAGATGATTGACGAATCCTCAGTGAAGATTACCCTTTAATGATTAAATTAACTAACACACTGCATAAAAATCATTCGTAAGTTCTTTAAACGAAATTTCCTTCAATCAAACTGTAAATCTTGTGCACTTCGTTATGTAATTCACGCGAAGATTTCGATCGCACATTGGATCGAAATCACTGCAAATTGATCAGTGTGATTTAAGCTTTGCAGTAAGTTTGCGAGCGAATCTGAACCGGTAAGCATCTGTGCGAGTGTTTTCTAAAGGCAGAAGAATCATTTAATTACATTGAACTGAACATAAATGCACAGACACTTTGTACACACTGCAATCGAGTTCGGCCAGAAATTTACGATTCACCGCTGTTTGCGAAGCTGGGCACCAAGAACCACTCGGAATTCAATGAAATAACGATGGAAAAAAAATGCATCCAATTAAAATTCTAAATGTTGTAAAAATTTCTCTTGTAGCCTTGTTGCGGTTTGGAATACAACAGCAATTTGCTCTTTTGATACCGCAATTTGATTAATTTCGCGTATTCAATCGCTGGGTTTGGAATGGGCCGGGCGGAAAAATCATCAATGCAAAATGTGCTACTCGCTCAATGAAGAACAATTTTCGTACATGCATTTTTCCACACATTCGATACACATACATATATATATATATACGAAAGTATTTCACCGTCTCTTCAAATCCGTGCATAGCTTCTGCTGTGCCATCGCTGATGGCCATCCTGAGCTAGTTTGTGTTGAAACATAAACCGGCTACCTGCTACACACATCTCCCAATGTGTGATTCCATGTAACTGTGCTGGTTCGCTTATCAGCGTTGGCATTTTGTGTTGCTGTTTCCTCTTTTCACATCAAATGATAATGCAGTCAGTGATAAAGCATTTTGATTTCCAACAATGTATTGCAGAAATATATCGAAAATTCCTATTGAAAGCAACGCAAAATTTGCGGCATAAATTATTATCCGCTCTAAATGGCGATAACATTTTGCAAATTGTGAAACGCATACATCGGCCACGAAATATATCTTTAGAGTGTTTTTATCTGTCCGTTTCACTTCCTCGAACGGCAAACTCACAGCCACCGAAACGATGAAGAACGATTGGAATTATTGATAAATCGAAATTATTCGAGAAAATGCTTTGCTAATTAAGGAAAAATTGTGATCCAATGGGAGAAAAGTGTTTTTTTTTTCGCGGCGTGGGATTTGTGAGAGTCATGCAATCGTAATGAAATGTTTCGATGGGTCCATCCTTAGTGAGAGAGCAGTTTTATGGGTTGTACAGGAAAATTGATTGAACTTTTGTCAAAAAAGTAGCGAAAAAAAATCATTGAAAAATCAAAATTTATGTCCAAGCTGAAAAAAAGTGAAGAAACTTAACAGCTGAAATCTTGAGCTTGGTTGTGATTCGGTGCCAATAGTTGCACTTGTTTGGTCTGAGAATAACAAATGGCATGATCATTGACCGCATTAGAATTTCGTATGAATCAACATTTTATCCAAATGAATCACAATATTCATTTGAAGCGAATTCAATGGGTAAAATGATCGAAACCGAGCCGATTCTATTCAACAATTGCATTTATCATGGCAGAAAAAAAGAATATTTTGAATAGGAGCATCAAGCAACAAGCTGAGTCTGTTACATACGCAAGCAAACGCAATAACATCGACTAAAGGCAAAGCGAAACAGAAACATGTTGTTGTTGTTGTCGTTTTATTCCGTATTCAAAAGGTATTCACATTGTGTGAGGCTTTTTTGCATTGGTCATATATTCGCGTCTTTTTTCTCTTTGCGCAATCTCACTATAGGCGCAGAAAAACCAAGAGACCCAAACTGAAAGGAAAAAAAAAACCGACGTAACTCTCTCAATACAACGATATAACATTGTGACCGTGAGAAACATTTTCGAAATTGCAATTTAAAGAATTTCGGCTTTTGTGTGTGTGAGTGGATTGCGATTTGCGCAAATCGCATCTACTCTTGAACTGTTGTCAGAAGCGACAGATGGAATTTGATACGCGCTGATCAATTGAAGAGAGACAAAG